GAACTGTAGGAAAAAAATTAGCTCATGAAACAAGTTACTGAGGCAAAAGAAGGGCCCTTGGATCTTAGGAGAAAGAAAGACAAAGAGAATATGACTGTGGAGAGGGGGAAGGAAATGCACAGGCATGCTCAATAGAGAGAACCATCAAAATGTTAAACTTTGAAAACAAAGTCTTTACTTTTGAGAGGAAGGAATGATTACTAATTTTGGTAGAGCACAGTATTATGGTGAAAAACACAATGTGCTCACTAAATTAAGAAATCTATAAAGCAGCCGGGACCGGTTTGGCTCAGTGGATAGAACGTCGGCCCGCGGACTAGAAGGTCCCGGGTTTGATTCCGGTCAAGGGCATATACCTTGGTTGCAGGCACATCCCCAGTAGGGGGTGTGCAAGAGGCAGCTGATCGATGATTCTCTCTCATCGATGTTTCTAACTCTCTGTCCCTCTCAGTTCCTCTCTGTGTAAAATCAATAAAATATAAAATAAAATAAAAGAAATCTATAAAGCAAAATGGTATTCAGAATAGGTCATAGTGAACACAAAATTAATAATTGTATCCAAACTATGAATAATAGTCTACCAATTGAAATGAAAGCTGTAAATATTTTAAAGTATTTTTTTGAAAGATAGAATGAGCGAACTATAAAATATTTATTATGAAGGTGTTATTGAAAACTTCCACAAGGAATGCAGCCCTGACAATGCCTTGATTTAAGCCCAGTGATGATTTTGGACTTCTGACCACCATTACTGTAAGATAATGTTTGTGTTGTTTTATTTATTTTTTTGTGTGTGTGTTGTTTTAAGTCATTAATTTTGTGTTAACTGGTTACAGTATCAGTAACAATTCATTCATTCAGCTCTGATTATATCATACCAAACCCTCTCATGCCTCTGCCTAGAACACATCTCCCATCTATCTGCCTAGATCCAATCTTGTTCTTCAAGAGTAATTAGGCCCACCTGGCCAGTGTGGCTCACGCTGAGCATTCACCAGGAATGGATGTCCCCAGTTCGATTTTGGGTCAGGGCAGATGCCCAAGTTTTGTGCTCAATCCCCAGAGGGGGGCGTGCAAGAGTCAGCTGATCGATAACGTTTCTCTCATCAATGCTTCTATCTCTATATTCCTCTCTCTCTCTCTAAAAATCAATAAAAAACATGTTGAAAAGGAAGTGTCACAACATCTCTATCCTCCCAATCCAAGATAAAAAAAAAAAGAAAGAAGAAAAAAAGAGTAATTAAACCCATCATTTCTCCTCTTTTCCTTGGAATCTTTGCCTACACCAGGCTCTTCCACTTTCCAGTGTCTCCTAACATGTCTCCTGGTCAGCACTTATCACACTTGGGTTGCAATCACTGATAATTGTATTCCTGTTTGTACCACTTTGCCAATTTCTTGCTTATTGAGTGGCTTTAGTATTAGTTCTCTAGTTATTTACTAGGTCTCTCCAACAATATACACCGAGTGCCAGATTATTATGATGCCTGAATGCATAATAATCTGGTCACTCAGTGTATATTCTATATAATAGAGGGCTAATATGCAAATTGTCCCCTCGACCAGCAGGCAGGCCAGCCAACCACCCATGTCCCGTCTCCCTGGCCAGGCTGGCCAGACCCAACCCATGCACAAATTCATGCACCGGGCCTCTAATATATATATTAGTTCAGAGATCTTAATAATCTGGCCACTCAGTGTAGTAAGCTTGCAGAGAACAGTGCCTACTCCTCTGTATATGTATATGTATGCACACACAGGTGTGTCTTCTCTACATATGCTTAATGAAAATCCCCCCTAGAAAAATAGAGCATCAAATTAAATGCTCATTGAAAAAAATGAGCCAGTCAACAGGCACACCTTATTTTATCACATTTCACTTTATTGTGCTTCACAGATGTATTTTTTACAAATTGAAGCCAAAACCCTCCACCAGCAAAAATATTATAATTCACTTTATTGTGTTGGTCTGGCATTGAACCTACAATATCTCTGAGGTATGTCTCTACTTTGTAAAAAATTATTTCTTAGTAAGTAAGCAAAAGGAAAAGTAATCATGATAATATTTTATTATATTGCATTTTATTATACTATTTACTAACTTGCTATAAGAAATTAAAGCTCATTATTCAGTCAATTTTTTTCTGAAGGAGGAACTCTCAATAGCACATTTTTCTAGTCAAAATTTTGTTCTTCATATTATTGCATTTCATTTTGGCCATCAGATGCAGTACCCCATACAACCAAAACTTATTTATTCATTTGACATGTATTGATTGGGTATCTACTATGAGCAAGTGATTTTTGGGACATGGAGAAACAAATGAATAAATCAAGGCTTATATTCTAGAAGGGGGAAGATATGCAAATAAATATTATCAAGTAAAACATGATAAAGAAAAAAAAATGAAGTAGCAGAATGGTAGAAATTGAGTTCTTTGCCCTTGGAGTAGAAAACCAGTCTTTAATGAGGCAAACATAGTGGTCAACACAAGAGGAGGTGGTAGTGGTTAAGAACCAGGATTTTCAGGTTAAATGGAACAAGATTTAAATCCAGTTCCACCAGTTCCACCCCTCATTGTGTGCCTCTGGGCAAACTCCTTAACTTACCTGAGCCAAACTGGCTCTTCTGTTAAAAAAAAAAAAAAAAAAAAAAAAAAAAAGGCACTTTCTCTCATAAGGTTCTTCTGAGAATTATATAAGATAATCCATACAAAATGCTTTATCTGGTGCCAGACACATAGCAAGTAATTAATACATAGCAGCCATTATTATGATATATTTTAAACAGTGATTAACATTTCTGAATAATTACTTAACCGGGTTTCCTTATACAATATCATACGTTGTTTTTTTTAAAAAAATCATTCACTCTACAGATACAAATACTTAGAAATGTAGAGGATGCTGTTCTGCTCCACAGATCCCTCCTTCTGGGTGAGGAACTCATTCCTTCAGCAGCTGTCAGAATTCGTCTGCTGAAGACTCACACGTGATTCCCACTTTGGGAATTTTGCCCTCCACTAAATAGCCTCAGCTAAGGTTATGTCTCCTTTCTGTCAAGCTGAAGAACCAAAAGCCTTGGGTCTATTTTGAAGGCCCACCCAATACCAGAACCTCAGACTGAGGTGGCCTGAGGCCTCAGTGGAAACCTCTTCTGCTTTCCTTACTCCATCACAGAGGTTCCCAACACTCCCCAATAAACATGCTCGCCAGTCTCCATCCCAGAGTTAGCTTTCCCCAGAGAAGCTGGATTAAGCAAAGCAAGCATTATATAGGCAAGGCACTGCTGTGGTGCTGTTTTGGCAAACTTCTTCTGTAAAAAGACCATAGTGTTTTAGGTTTTTGGTGGGCCATCTGTTCTCTGTCACGTGTATTCAGCTCTGCCATTCCAGGATGAAAGCAGCCATAGACAATACATAACTGAATGGGTGTGGCTGTATTCTAATACAGCCTTTTTTATGGGCACTGAATTTGAATATCACAATTTATTCATGTCACAAAATATTACTGTGATTGGCTTTCCCATTTTTTTTAAATGGCTTAAAAAATTCTTGGCTCCTGGGAGCTTAAAATTGATGTAACTAGATTTACTGTGGTGATAACTTTGTAATATATACAAATCTTAAATCATGTTATATACTTAAAGCTAATATACTGTTATATGTTAATTATATCCCCCAGTAATTGCGGGCACATCCCCAGTGGGGGGTGTGCAAGAGGCAGCTGGTCGATGTTTCTCTCTCATCGACGTTTCTAACTCTCTGTCCCTCTCAATTCCTCTCTGTGTAAAATCAATAAAAATATATTTAAAAAAAAATTATATCCCCCAGTAAAAAACAGGTGGCAGGCTAGAGTTGGTTGATTTTGCCAATAGTTTGCCAATCCCTGAACTAGGGGAAGGAGGTAAAGCAGGGCAGCACTCACAAAGCCACCATTCTGGTGCATGGATTTACAGAATTTGATATCTTCGGACCCTAGACCTTGCAACCTTGTCTTTGGGATACAGAAAACCCCTTCCTGGCTCCAGAAGAGTCAAGAGAGCATGAAGAAAAGGAAGAGCCCTAGCTGGCTTGGCTCAGTGGATAGAGCATCAGCCTGTGGACTGAAGAGTCACAGGTTTGATTCCAGCCAAGGGCACATGACTGAGTTGCCAGCTCAATCACCAGTGTGGGGTGTGCAGGAGGCAGCCAATCAATGATTCTCTCTCGTCATTGATGTTTCTATCTCTCTCTCCTCCTCTCCTCTCTGAAATCAATAAAGAAATATTTAAAAAAAGAATATGAGAAAAATAAGATTACTAACTTTGTATCACCAAGAAAATCATATATAGCAAAATCAAAATAGTTTAATATTCACTCTGTGATATTTTCCATTTAGGACATTTCATCTCCACTAGAAAACAGAATTAGGAGATTTGAGTGGCTCTTGTGTGGCTATATCTAAGTAACCATTCCATTTGATAATAAAAACACAATTGCAACTTGCTACTGTTTTCATGTTTATAGAGAACATAATTTTAAGTGATTTCCTGATACAGAATAGAAAAGAGAGAAAAACATATTTTGATACTGAACCTATCTCTCTACCCAAATATAGCAGCCTTCTTCAGTTTATTTCCCTCAAGAAAAAGCAACTTGAGGGACTTTATGAATAACAAACATTTTTAACTCTTTACCCTGAAATCTTTGACCTTTTACTTTTGCCATGATGTGTGTTCTTTTTGGTTTGTCTTCTTTTTCAATTTCTATACTCCTTGAAATGAATCTTACCTTTGCTTTTTTGATCATTTTTATTTTTTTGCTTTGTTGCTATACAACCCTGGCTTTGAAAGCACTCTTTATAGCTCCTTTTCCCACATTCCTTCATCATGTGTAATATTATGAGATTTCCTCTTAATTCACACCTGACCTCCAGCCAATGTTTACTTCTCTAGCTCTTGACTCCTTCACAACCCCCTCCTCCACATTCTCAGAATAAATGAATGAAGTGTTGTTTTAGCTGTGAGAGTTGATAAAGGGGAATGGAAACATCCTCCCCATTATGGATTCACATTGCTATACTGTGAAATATGGAGACTAGGAGTACTGATCTCAGTGGACACCAACTGCAATAGGCGGTTAATGACTATATCCCTGGCTTTTGAGGTCTCCAGATTCTTCTCTCTCGACACTTGGAGGCTAATTTGGTCCACACTTGTCATGATGAGTTCAGATGCCAGAATCTGGGTAGGGGAACTGTCATGAAACACGGTGTCCATAATGTACTGTTTATATAACTCCACCACCTTCTGTTCCAGATACTCGTTCAGCACAGCATTAGAAATAGGCTTCTGCATTTGCAGGCTGTTTTTCTCCTTGATGCTGGTTATTCTCCAGTAGGATGAATACCGCTGGATAGGTTTTTGGGGCAAGTCACTGGGCTGAGTAGAAATGGAATCCTCCATTGGCAAAGGAATCTCAGATGATTTCAACAAAGGGCCAGATTCAAAACTACTCTCACAGAGAAAATCTCTGGTCACCGAACTAATGGCCATCACTTGGCCCCCTGCAATATGTAAGTCATTGTAATTCTTGCAAATACTTTTGCAGGAAGGTGGAACCAAGTAGGTCTCTCTGCTGGGGTGTCTACAGATTTCAACTGCAGCCAAGTTGGGGCTTTCAAACAAGGGGTTGGGATTTGTCTGTAGCACTGCGATTCTCTGGTTTTTACTGTGTTGGCTCTCTCTTGAATGCACTGAAGAAATGAACTTGCCAGAGGATTTGCAGCTCAGGTAGAGACTTCCGACTTGGGATTCATCCACAGAGGAATAGCAAAGAGCAGCAGAGTTAGTCTCTTCTACCTCTTCCTCAGCCACGTTCTCATTATAAGATGCACAATTCCAGGGGGTGTCATTCCGGTAGGCAAGTCCACTGATGTACCCTTCCGACAGCATTCTGGAAAGAGAGTTCATAAGTAACAATGAGGAAAATGAAGACTGGATTTTTTTTTAGTTGACAGTTGATGTACCAAAAAAGTAAAGGAAATAGTCATTTCATTCATTCACCAAGCCATTACTAATTTTGTGCCTGCTTTGTACCAAGACTATGGCGTGTGCTGGAGATAGAAAGATAAATAGTACACAGTTCCATCCTTCAAGAAATTTCCACTATGGGTTTGCCCCGCTTGGCTCAGTGGTTGAGAGTCGACCTATGAATCAGGAGGTCATGGTTTGATCCCTGGTCAGGGCACATGCCCAGGTTGGGGGCTCCATCCCTAGTGTGGAGTGTGCATGAGGCAGCCAATCAATGATTCTCTTTCATCATTGATGTTTTATCTCTATCTCTCCTTCTCCCTTCCTCTTCAAAATTAATAAAACTATATATAAAATATGTATGGGAAAAGATAAACTAGATGCAAACAGTTCCAATATTATATCACAGATGGTTCAAATCATGACAGGCACAAAGAAAGCGAAGAAGAGGAGCTCCTAACACCACCTGTGGATAAGGGAAAGGAGTTACGAATATGTCACAGAGAAGATGACATTTCATCCAAATTGTGAAGACTAAGTAAGAGTTCCAGCCATAGGCACAGAGTTATAAGAGAATATGGTGTTGTGGCCTATTCATACACCAAGATGCTGAGCATAAGCGGAAGGGTCTGGGAAAATAGGCCGGAATTAGGTCGTGAAGGGCATTAGGAGTCAAGCAAAGGCATTTGCATCCTGCCTCAGAGGAAATGGAGAGTGATTGAGAAGCTGCAAATTGAGAAAACAACATACCCAGTGGGTTATGAGAAAAACAATGAGACTGATTTTACTGAAAATAGAGCAATATTTTACCCATCTTTGGATTTTATCCCTCAAAACTAGCACAGTTGTTTGCATTTAGGAGAGACTGAAAAGATATTTGTTCGTTTGAATTAAATACCTGACAACAATGCATGGTATGAAATTAATTCACTATCAACCCATCATGAGGGACCAAAAAGCCTCACCAACCTTTGCAGCCCAGCGTACTTCTCACAATAAGTCCTAGAGATGTCTCTGCACTCAACTGAGGTGTTTACCTCTACCCTAGTTACCAAAAAGATTTCCTGACCATGGGCTTTCGCTACAACTGCCTCCCCTCCCCACCCCCAGCAATTGTCAGCTGAGTCTGGAGTGGCTAGAATAGGCTAGAAAGCAGCAGCTGCATTTTCTAAAAAAAGGAACACACTGACATTCTTGGCACTGGGCGCTAGACAACAAGGAAAACTGATCCTCTTTGTCCTTGAAAGCTGGGCTTCCGAAACAGACCTGTCAACATGAACCTGCATTGAAAAGTCAAATTAGGAAAGGATTATTTTAACCATACATAAAGGTCCTTTTTTAGAATATTAGTGCCTCTTTTATATTCATGCAGTTATTTCCCAAGTAAATGTTTAATTGTATAAAAAAAATATTACAGATATCTATAATAATAAAAGTGTAATATGTTAATTAGAGCAGACATCCTTCTGAACGTCCTTCTGTCCTTCTGGACAAAGCTGGAGCTGCAAGGGAAGGCTGGGTCCTGGGTGCCAGAGGGAAGCCGGTGCCAGCAGCCAGGGGAAGGAAGGCCTACTCTTGCACAAATTTCATGCACCAGGCCTCTAGTAATGAACATAATTGTTTTAATTGTATAAGAGTAATATTTTCAATGTTTATTTTCTCTTTTTTGGAACTATTCCAAGACATATTCAACAAATGTATCAATTATTTAAATGTTTATATTCCAGGTATAGTCGTGTACCATAATGATACAAAATTAAAGGTCTACAACAAATCCATAAAGTAGTGCTGGTAGGCTGGACACAGTTATAAGGATAAAGAAAATGTTTTTCTTTCCTAAAAAAATTGTTCTAAGTGTGTTTCTACCCTTGACAAACTGAACATCCAGGTGAAAAGGCAAATCTTTATAAACTAGTACAGGAGAAGATAATTAACAGAGCAAAAAGGTTTACAAAAATGGCTTTATAGTGAGGCAGTTATTTCCCAACCCTCCCCCCAGTACCTCCCCCCCCCCGCCAAGGCTGCAGCTAAGGCCTTCCCCTTTCAAGGCCTCAGAACATCATTGTATATAGAAAACCAGAGCAGAAGTCCAACTTTCAGCTTCTGAGTTTCTAAACTGGCCTCAGAAACTCTCAGAAGAAACCATCGTTTTTGAAGAAATGGCTTTTGAGATACCACAACCTGAGCTTTGATATAACATATATATTTTTAATTTATTTCAGAGAGGAAGGAAGAGGGAGAGAGAGAGATAGAAACATCAATGATAAGAGAGAATCATTGATCAGCTGCCTCCTGCACAGGCGCCAAGTGGAGGTAGAGAAATTACCATGGATGTCAGTGTGACTACATGATGACAACCAGAGATACCCCCCACTCCCCTGTCCCCAACTGACCCTATGGCTCTATGTAAGCAAGCTGGAACTTAGAGGCAAACCCAAGGAGGACGAAGCCCTGAAGTGACTGAGGACATCCTGATTGACAGTCATTACTTGGGAGAATGTAAGCTGAGCTCAAAAACGAGATCAAATTGAGGTAGAAAAAAGCAATGATTTTCAGGAAAAATAGCTGGTTAGTCATATGCATGTATTTCCCACACCCTGAACATCATTAGAACACCAGTAAGTGATTTTTTTAAAGATACAATCCACAAAACGAGGGAGAATAGGAGAAGAGACTAAAGCAATTACATTTTAGAACTAGAAAGCAGGAGGCCGAAGGTTAATGAGTTAGGAGACCTAAAAAGGCTGAATCTTACAATACCCATGGGAAAACCTAAGTGCCAATCTGATTTAAATTTTCCTAAATATCTAAGGATTGGTAGCACCCTATACACTTTGGAAGTAAGGTAAAGCGAGTGTATCTAAAATAAGAAAGATTCACTTAAAGTCTATTGAAAAGGCAGTCAGAAACCCAGATCCTCTCTCTCATTCCAGGTAGCCAGGTGACTATCTCCCATCTCCATTCCCAAGGGAAAACTTGGAACTTATTCTTTGAAAACTTAAGGTTTCTGAGCTATGAGATGCCAGCTGAGGGTTGAACTACTGAACCAATAATAGATTAAACATACGCATTTAGATGCTGAAATCCATGATCTCTCTCTCCCTTTTGCTCTCAGAATACTTTCCAGGCAGGATATTGTGAAGACCGTTTTGGGGAATCAGACTCGCCTGAGACCAATTGACATCAGAGGTTCCCCCAACTAAATGGGGCACCCAGATCACCCTTCATTCAAGTTTATAATCAATAGACCCCATTTAGCTTTTTGGATCCGTAATCCTTAACATTCTCAAGGCAATAAGGATAATATTGCAATCTTGAATTGTGAATGGGATGCTAATGGAAAACATTCTGAAGTTCTTGAAAATTAAAAATGTTATACAATTTTAAAACTCAATAGAATGGCTAGAAGATAAAGTTGAGGCAAACTCTCATTTTGAAAGTAGAGCAAAACTATAAGATGGAAAATAGTAGAGAAAGGTTAAAATTAGAAAACCAATCCAGGAAATCTATTATCTGAAGAGTAGAAATTTCTAGTTCAGAAAGAGGACAGAGTAAACAGAAGAGAAATTCAAATAATTCAACAATATTTCCCAGAACTGCAGGACATGAGTTCTCAAAATACTAGATAAAAATAGACCACGCCGCTTATTATTATTGTGAAATGATATAGAATGCCTGAACCAAAGTGAAAATACTATACATTTCTAGAGATTTTAAAAAGTGAGGGGGAAAAAATTCAATAACCAGAATCTTCAGACTTCTCAACAACAACATGAGAAGCAGGATGATCATGCAACAATATCTAAAAATTATTGAACAGCCAAAACCGGTTTGGCTCATTGGTAGAGCATCAGTCTGTGGACTGAAAGGTCCCAGGTTCGATACCGGTCAAGGGCATGTACCTTGGTTGCGGGCACATCCCCGATAGGGGGTGTGCAGGAGGCAGCTGGTCGATGTTTCTCTCTCATCGACGTTTCTAGCTCTCTATCTCTCTCCCTTCCTCTCTGTAAAAAAATCAATAAAAAATATATTTTAAAAAAATAATAATAATAAATAAAAATTATTGAACAACCCTGACTGGTGTGGCTCAGTGGATAGAGTGTTGGCCTGCGGACTGAAGGGTCTGGGTTCGATTCCAGTCAAGGCCATATACCTTTGTTTTGGGCACATCCCCAGTAGGGGGTGTGCAGGAGGCAGCTGATTGATGTTTCTCTCTCATCAATGTTTCTAACTCTCTATTCCTCCTCTCCCTTCCTCTCTGTAAAAAAATCAATAAAACTTTTTTAATTCTTGAACAAAAGTTATTTCAAACTAGAACTGAATGACCAACTAATCAATTAAGTATGAATAGAATAAAGATATTTTAAAGTCAGCATCTCAAAAAAATAAATAGATAAAGCTGAAACCTGTTTGGCTCAGTGGATAGAGTGTCAGCCTGCGGACTGAAGGGTCCCAGGTTTGATTCTGGTCAAGGGCATGAACCTTGGTTTCGGGCGCATCCTCAGTGGGGGGTGTACAGGAGGCAGCTGATCGGTGATTCTGTCATCGATGTTTGATGTTTCTAACTCTCTATCCCTCTCTCTTCCCCTCTGTAAAAATTCAATAAAATATATTTTTAAAAATAAAAATAAAAAATAAATAGATAAAGTCAACGTCTCAAATAGTTTGTCTTCTGGCAACTTTCTCAGAAAGTGAATGGAAGGTGTGCTCCTCTGAAAGGAGTAAGTAAATGAATAAAATGGAGACAAGGGGTTACATGAAAACAGGAGAGAAACGAAGGGGCCCTCAGACTAGGAGAGCCTGGTCCCCTCTTCCAAACCCTGCACTGGAAAGGGCCCCACTCCAGCCCTCCCGTGGTTGTGCCCCTGCTCAAATCACCCAGACCCAATCTCAGAGTTTGCACTGGCTTCTCTCCAAACCCAT